TTGAAGTGATCGTCCAAAATTTATCAATCTATGTCGCACAGCTCTGAGTTCTTCCGGATCCCAGGGGAAGGATGACCTACCCTCCAGCCACGCCAAGCTGCAAGAAGTGCGCTAGATCATGGGCTTGGAAGGTTGCCTCGACGAGGATTCTTGTTGGGGCCCGGGGTGGCCCTTCATGTCAACCCCAGACAAACTCAATATACCGGTCTGGGTCCAAACCCCAGGTGAACCCTACGGCAACTGGGATTGATGGATGCCATCTCCATATAGCTGATTACTTTTGCTGGTCCGCTTTGGTATAAAACTATCATTTGTCACAGGCAACACCCTCAGACCCCATCACTCAAAATCTCAAGTTTCATGGAGGTCAAAAGGTGGCAAGCCACCTAATTGGTACGTCTACCTTGGTACAGAAAATCCAGTTCAGTTTCCACCATGAAAAAGAACGGCGGCAAATCCCTCAAAACCTGCATTCCATCCACATCACATTCTCATCTGCATCTATCTGTTTCATATTGTTTCATATTATGAATATTACCATCCTTTAAACTCAAACCAAAATATCATACTGTTGCAACATTATGATACCAAGATCATCTCCAGCTACACCTTCAGCCCCAGCGCTTCCAACCCGCCTCGTGGACGGCATCGTCCTTGGGCACCAGGGGGATGCCTGCGTTGAGCCCCGGCAACCAATAGATGAATTCCCGTCGCGTCATTGCCGCACGCAGCACCAGGCCCTGGTTCAGCACCGAAACGAAGGCGCTGCGAAAGAACGAGGACGAGCAGGTCGAGGTCTCCGTCTCCGGGAAGAGATAGGGATTTCCTGGATTCGGACGGTTTGTTTCAGGGAATCACTGGGTGTTCATGGAAAATTGAGCCGAAATCATGGAATTGTCTTTCAACCATCCAAGTTTCACTGGGGTGCAATTTTTTCCCCATACTTTTGGAGGGGATATCTACAGGAAAAGGATGGTCGTGTTCTCTCGATAGTAAACCAAACAAATCACCGGAATGGGATTTTGTCCTGGGCCCGAAACAGAAATCCACCGAAAATCCACCGATTTGTTTCATTCGTGCGATGATTTCCCGTGGCCTTAGGCCGCTCCAATTAGGGAAGGCCACGGAAGGATTTGGTAATAATCTTTGAATCCCACAGGATCCATGGTGCTGGTATATATGCTAACATTGGGGATATATTGATGGTAAATGTTACCATATATAGCATACATGGATCCTACGGGAATGAAAACAATGAAATTAATGATTGTCCACCATTGGATGCACAAATTTAGGATTGTCCATCAATTTTGACAGCAGGCGGCAGCCTGCTGGCATTGAGAGAGACTTGGAGTTTGAAGATGTTTGAAGGATATGGATGCAACAAGGGTATCAACGAAATGGCATCTGAGCTACTGCTGATGCAGTAGATCTAAGCTGACAATATCCGCCACTATCCCAGTATGGTGACACAAACCACAGGCATCTTATTCAGATAACCAGAAAGGTCGATATTGGGTGTGCATGTGCAGCGTTCTGTGCCTCACTGGCCTTCCAGTTCCAGGCTTGAATGATCAATAAAACTTCGCACACCCCTTGCTATCGCGTGTTTCCCCTTGGTTTTGACTTGCTTCATGTGGCCATACAGGACTCAAAAACATTCAAAAACCATCATCTTCAGCTACTATCAGCTACTCAGCTCCCGCTTTCTCCCCCTTTCGCTCGTCCCTCGTCCCTGGCTCAGCATCTTCTGAAGAAGTTCAGCGCCGGAGAGCCGTCGCCAAAATCCACCGCTCGGCTGACCTCCAGGTGGTTGTGACGACAGAGCCGTCGCCGCCGGTAGTGCACGTGATCCTGGAGGTACTGAGAGAGCATCATGTCCCGTGGCGACACCTGCCAGGATGTGAATGACAGAAAAAAAAAAACGGATTTTGAAAGTGGCATAGTCCTTTGGCTTATTGTCTATATATAATATTATATATATATACATATTATATCTATAATATATATATATATATCTTATACTCTATATATATAAGTGTATTATATATATATATAGAGAGAGAGAGAGAACATCATATAAGTGGATTCTAACCACTCAGCAACTAACTGGCTTCCACACATCCACATTTTTGGGCCCAGCCTTGAAGCCTTGGAGTTTTTTCTCATGGTAAGACAAGCCACTGTACAAATCCACCACCACGTCCTTGGAAATTTGCGGCAGATTGCGTATTTTTATGGGGCAAAGATCCATAGATAGGTCTGCCTATGTCTGCCTTTTTAAAAAAAATGGTTTCTGACCAGAGTTCAACAAAGAACACAGAAGATATGCGTGTACAATTGCACTTTTGGGCATTTGAATATGTTCACCGCAATGTCTTTAGAAGTCTTTAATGGTTGGCTCCACAGACCCAGTTCGGGACGCCGGGCCGCCGAAAAAACCATACCCTCTGGAGATTTAAGGGTTTGCTATGGAAAAAATTGCCTATAATTGATAGATATTGCCTATTTATAGATGATCTATAGATGAAACATGAGAACTACGGTTCGAACTATTTCATCTATAAATCATCTATAAATGGTTCAAAGGCAATATCATCTGCAATATCTATAAATAATTTCACCACGATTTGCCTGTGAAAAATGGTGGATGTTCTGAGTTCGACTTCCATGAGACCTTCAGATTCCCTTAAAATACCCAAGGTGAAGAGCACCAGTGATTTATATCTGTTGCTTCATAAAGCCATTCACTAACTGTTGCATCTCCTATTAGGGACCCCAACCTCCACCAAACTCTGTGTCAACTTAGCAAAAAAAAAAACATCAGCTGAATCCCATGGAAATCCCCTCTTGGTTTTAACCATTTTGAACCAATGATTAAGCTGATTTTGATCAGAAAAGATGATTCAGCTGATTCATATGGGTATGGGTCAAAATTAGGTACCCCAAAATTATGGATGGTTAATACTAAACTAGACATTCACATCTGTGGTCCCACATCGGTCTTCCATTTTGACCCACATCCATATCCTCATCTCTAATCAAATCACCGGTTTTCGATGCTGGGCCTCACCCTTAAGGTGGCTTAGTCATGCCACGCATGCCACGCGTCATCCCAGTTGAAGACCCCACTGCGATCTTCCCGACGTTTCGACAGGTCAATCTTGGCGTCCATCTCGTGGCGATAGACGAAGACCTCCACCTGACCAGCCTTCTCCTGGTAGAATGGTCGGAAAAAATATGGAGACCATGCAAAACTGTGTGAAACGACCATTCAAAGATTCGGATTTTGCCCACTAAACTGGAGATCAAACATGATTTAATATGATTTCGTTATATCTATATATCTATATATCTATATATCTATATATCTATATCTATATGTGGTATATATTAATATGTGGTATCCCCCGCCGAATCCTCCGTACCTGCTCTCCCTTCTGCGACGACCAGCAAGTCAAGGACGCGCTCACGGTGACCGCTTCACCTTGAAACGGGCTTGAGGACGCGGCAAACACCGAAACAGACGTGGAGGTGGAGGATTGTTTCCAGGGCGAATGAGATATATATATATACATATATATATACACATATATATATATATATGCATATATATATATAACATACATACATACATATATATATATATACATATAACATACATATACACTAATACATTAATATGTCTATATGTATATAGAAAAAAATGTGTATATATAATTATATATAATGTATTTGACCATGAAAAATGGAAGCTTCACCATCAAAAAAAATGTGATTTACAGTAACATGATTTCTTTAATGTGTTGAAAACCATTCCAATTCTTGCTCATGTGCACAAATCCTCCAGGTTGTGATAGAGAAAAACAAACTGGAAACCACCGACAAGTGCCCGGAGTTGTGACCTTGTTTGGTTTCATGAATTTCATGCCCACTGTCACAGATTAAATTCCAATCCTTGTTGACTCCCAAACGGTGCCCAGTTCAATCCCGCGTTTTGCACTGTCAATATCCTCCGCTAATCAAACGTGGCAATGGAAAATCGAACATGATAGATGCTTTCAATGCTTTATAATGGCAAAAACATCTATAAATGGAATAATTGCCATGTTTGATTGCCAAGGCTATCATGCGAAATTACGTTGAGTCCCCGTACGCTTCAATCCCCCTATGAATCTGTCCAAAACTGAGGTGTACCCATGTTTACCCCAATGTGTTAATCTCTTAGGGAAAAATGAGATCGCAATCCGTTCGTGTTTGCACCTCAAGCATTGCTGTGGAACAGACTCCATGGTCTCCTGTTCGACTGTCAAAAATTCCCGGTCTTTATTGTCAACTTGCAATTCCCAATTTTGGCTGGTGAAACTTCAATTCTTCATAGTCAAGTCATGTTGAATCATGTCAAATCCCCGTGTTTCATGGTAGATCCTGTTTCTAGTGTCAAAATCCCATGATTTTTTCCCAATGGACCAAACCCCAAAAGGATGCCTAAAGCGTGTCCAGGTTCCCAGGTGTGCAAGGTTCTATCGACCCAAATGGGGGAAGAAATCCTGCACCGATGGTTTGAAATATCAATAGTGGGATAAACATGGACAAACCACCTAGCCTCTAACGTTTACATAACGAACTGGAAAATCACCATGCTATTAATGGCTAAATCCACGAACTAAATCACCAGAGGGTATCAACTGCTGGATTTTTTCCACTGCATTTCCACCATCATTTCCCATGGTTTTCCCGGCCAAGTCTCCATCCACCAGCTCCCGGCCCGGCGCGTCGGCGTGTTGCTCCGTGCCACGGCAGAGCAGAAGCACCTGCTCGTACCTCGCGACGTACGGAAAACGTGGAAAAACATTGGCAAAAAGGTGGGGAAATACGAGAAAAAACGTGGAAAAATATGGCAAAAATTTGGATAAACAAGGAAACATAGGGAAAACATGGAAAAGATAAGGATTTTTTATGGAAAACAATATGGAAAAGAACAGGAGACAAACATGAAAAATATATGGAAATTGATAGCAAACCTGAAAGTTCGATAGAAAAGTTGAAAAACTTGAAAAAATACAAAGGAAATACATCATCGAACTAACGTCCTGGAAAAACTGTTCTGCATCTTTTTGGGGCCCATTATGTAGGAAACTAAATCTGGGGGAAACGGTGAGTTGAGCAATACACATGGAAAACTCGCAAAAATGGATAAACATGATAAGCTGTGAGTTCCAGCGAAAATTGTAGAAAACCTGATAAACCCTGGAAAAAATTGGAAAAAAACAATAGGAAATCAACCACACGTTGCAAAAGCGGTTTAGCCAAACAAGAAGTGGAAGTGGCCGACAATAGTGGTGGTTTTGCGTGGTTTTAGCAGCAAAATGGGGATCTAATCGACAAAAAAAAGGAAGCGGACAACGATGATGATGATGATGATGATGACGATGATGATGATGATGATGACGACGACGACGATTCTTACAGCGGGGAAAACCTCAAGAAATCGTAGGTTACAGACCCACAACAGGTTCTTTTTTCGATGGTAAATGGGAATAGCAACACTTGGCAATGCTGAAAACCATGGGATATCCCTGCCAAAAATGGAACAAATTTAATTTACAGGAAATCCTGATCTATGTGCGGAGCGGACAGACGGCTGTAGCTACACTTGGCACAGATTGATCCATGTCCGCGGTGCCCAGCACATGCCCATACATTATCATACATTATGGGATATCTTTCAAGTTCCAATCAAACCTCAAATGTTTTCCTAGCGAATCCATGGGTCAACGTGGTGAAGCCAGTTTTTTAACTGGTTTGTAAAGCATAGCTGGTTATACATACCAAAAATGTTCCAGGGGTCTGCTGGATTTGCAAATTGAATTTCGTAAGCCAAGAGTTGCAACGTGCACAAATTTGCGAAATGACCAGAGTTGACTCCGAGAATACGAATGGCAGCATCCCAAACGCTTTTGTTCCCACCGATATTGTGCGAAATTCAACACACAAGCGAATTTAACATGTCAAATGAAAAGGTTCGACCCAAAAAATGTTTGGATACAAAGGTACTTGCATATACATGCATATACATTTCTAGCATCTGCTGGTCACTTGATTCCAAAATATCGACCCTTTCCCACATCATCTTTCCCTCCTGGTAAACCATCCGAGAAACATCACAGACTTGGTCCAAAACTTTTCGTTGTTCTGTTCCAAGAGTTTC